GACTAGACTTGAATTCCTACCTGATCCCCTGTCTCTGCACACAATTCTTCTGTCAAGGAGATAGTGCTAACACCTCAGCCGTCCACACCAAAGCATTTCAAGTTTCAGGCATTTATTGTGAGTATAAAGTACTGATGCCTTACTCCCTGATGGAGACAGCCAGAGATGGATCATCTCAACAGAGTGCACTTAGGAACAACACACCCCGTGTTTCCATTCCCTAAGAAATGCTTTCCTTCCATTTTATCCAGAGTTCCAGGTCACAACACTTACGTCACTGTAACAAACAAACAAAAACCCAACTAAACTAAAAAGCAGTGCTGGAAGATTTTTGTCCTGCCAATTATTTTAAAATATTTTTCACCTCCTTGGAAGATCCACTAAAGAAAGGAAAAAACACCCAAGCAAGCGCCTTATTTTACAGCATGAGTTAAGGTTTCTTTGGGAATTTTAGTTCTTACTTTTTTGTTAATTCAGAATGTCTCAAAATGAAACCGCTAAGTCTACAAAGAGCACGGAAGGTGAAACAAGAGTCAAAACAGATCTGACCGTGGAGCATCACCTCTGGTACCCCCGCGCTCCACGGACGGGCCTGTTACGGCAGGAGGCTGAAAGGGTGTCAAGAGAGGTCGCTCACTACCACAGCCTACAGGCAATTAAAGTTAAAATATTTTTAAAATTAGTTAGGTGCCTCAATCCTTACACTCACTGCGCCGTTGCTTCCCCTAAGCAGCTTGGGCTCAGGGCAGGGTCCGCCAGCAGCCGGGGCGACGGCTGAGAACGGAGCGGGCAAACTCCGGCTGCAGCACTCCGAAAGGCCTTTTTCTATTATTTTAATTTTTTTTATTACTATTATTTTTTTCCCTCGTGGCACCTCAACGAGACAAGCTAGCGTGAACTCCCAGAGGAAGCCTCACCCGGCCTCTCCGGCTTCCTTTAATGGACAAGGACAATGGCAGGGGCTCGCCATAGCCCCGCGCTGCCGGGAAACTTCGGCAGCCGGAGGGCTGCTCCCCGCCCGGCCCGCTGGCCGCCAGCCCCCCGGGATGCTGCAGGGAGCAGACCGCTCCAGGGAGACAGGATAGAAATGCCGGTGCCACAAGACGGAGGGAGAAAGGGGCACTCCGGACGGGGCGACCCCCGGGGCAGACGGCGGGCGGACGCCTGGGCCGGGACTCACCGGGGCAGCAGCCTGCTCGCTAAGTTTTGCCGAGCTGGGCGGACGGCGAGGCGGCGGACGGCGTAGGCGAGGGTCCCTCCGGTGCCTCGGCTAGTCCATGGACACGGCGGCGCTCCCGGAGCCTCCTCCCC